GTTTAATATATTTCCTGTAAGGGCCAAAACTTTGAATTATATGGAGATACACTGGAGACCATCATCTCTGCATCCTTCAAATCCTGACTAATTTGCACTATATGTGCCAGGATGCATGGCTGTGTTCTATTTACTGCCTTGTTAGCATGGAAATCTCAGTGTCTCTATGCTTCCTCTGCACCATAAGAGAACTTACCAAGGAATCAGTTTGGGAATGAGGACAAAGGACTAAATGTGGGAGTCCTGTTAATGCAATTAATAGGGGAATTATGCCAAACACCCGAAATGCCAATCCCAATCACATAGTTACGGAGAATAAAAATGGCCAGAAGGTAAATCCTAGTTCTTAGTGGATTTACAGAAAATTGCATTTTGGTCATGACATCACTTATCACCTGAGAAGTGATAGTAATGTTTTGGTATCTGATCAACTGACTCAAAACATATTTCCCTTTGTGCACAGTTAAGAGAGTGAATGTAAGAGATCTCTGCAAAGATCTCAGCAAAGACAATTGGAAGATACGAAAACTAAATAGACGGATGGCTAACAGAAAACTGAGAAAGCAACGGATAATCATTAATTGCATATTTCCCGTAGCACTGTGGAATCTTTCAAGAGATCTAGTGACCACTTTTTTCAATGGATTATGAATCTGAAAAGCAACTTCAATCCTGGAATTTGGCAAGAGCTTATAATAAGCATTAGTATGATTTACATCATCCTCCCGGTCTTCTGTTCTTCTGTCCTTTCATGCTGAACAGGGTAGGATTTTTGTAACTCGATTGCCTATTTTCTCCTTGGTAATTACAAGTTCTGTTTTCTTTTTAGCTCTTTTAATATCTCTGAGCCAAAGTCACATGATTGCCACTCTACCAATCCAATCATTAGGACAATAAATAATTGTTATCCCCTAGTTTCTTGAATTAAAGTATGACTGTTTGAAGGCATGATATTAAATCATACACATTATTGTCAGTATTTTTCTCTATTAGACTTTCAGTCTTTAGACTGACCTAGAAAGGACAGTTACATTAACATTTTAGTAATACCAGTGATCTCTCTCATCACTGCATTCTTCTTAGCGTTTGTAAAGTGAGAAAGCATGTGTATCTTCACATAGAACAGAATAATTGGTAGATCTGTGTTGATTTTTTTAACTCATTTTTTTCTGTGTCACTATCTGCTACAGCAGATTTGGCTTTTCACTCAAATATAACATGTCCATTGCTTTCTCATATTTCTGACAGCCATTGGTCTAGTTAGTTTTCATAACCTCCAGTTGTCTTTGCTGAGATTTAAATCATATGATGAATTGAGAGCAACCTTTCAAATAAAAAAAATTACTTCCTGGCTCTTTTAATTTATATAGATGTAATGCAGATAAGCCCAACACCATGAAGAGAGAGTAGAAGCATACTAGGCCATTGGGGGACACCACTCTGCACTGAATTGGTGAAACCCCTACATCTTCTCTCTGACTAGTCTCTGGATAAGACTTGTAATGTGATGACATGCCCTTGTACAATTTATTGTTCTGCTGCTGAGAAATTCCTGAAGAAATGACAGTTGGAGCCTGTCTTCTGAAAGCTAAGTATGGAAGTCTTTCTTGGGAAGAAGTCTGTATAGAACATCTTGCTCTTCACCACATGCTGTGCTAAGTGTTTTATGAAAACATTCAGCCCAAATAATGTCTCATCACTGTAATCAAAAGGATATGGAAAGATCAAATCTTGAGACCAACTTGGATCACATACAGAGTTCCCAGAAGTGCCTGCACTATATATAGCAAGAGCATATCTTAGAAACAAATCCATATAATTTTGAAAATTGAATTAAATATATTAGCACTTTGCAACCAAAGTCATAAAGTCAACTTAAATCTTATTGTATTGATTAGAAGATTTGGTAATTTTTTGAGAATATTAATTGTTGTAACATTGATGTAATTATTAAACATACTTATTGATGGATGGGTATTTTTCCTCTACATAGGATTTAAACCCCATTTAGGCAAATAAATCATAGGAACAAAGCTTTTGATCAAGGTCAAAATAATTACACAACTCAGCCACCCAACCAGAAGCTTGGTTTTCTGAACTTAATAGTGACTTAAACAAATTGTATAGGGAATCTAGTATGTTAAGTACCTTTTCTATCCATGTCAAAAGGGTATACATGCATATGACATATGTATGTGAATTATATATAATGTATGCATGCATATGACATATGTATGTGAAATATATATAGTGTGTGTATTAAATTAGTACAAGAAAAATGAAATATAAGATTAAAGATATATATGAACTCAATCTTATTATTACACTGAGCATAATTTTGGTGCTACAATATCAAATTGCTACATTCTTTCCTAAATGACTGATTTGTATTTATCATACCGTGGACTAATAATTGAGTTTACAAACTGGTCATGGTTTATTTATTGCACTTTAAGTATCTCTGATCTATCTCTGTGATACTCTCAGACGTTTTCCTTGAAATCCAAAGATATAGATGAACTAAAGCATATGCTATTCTACTAAACATAAGAAATTGGTATTTTTCCTCAACTGCCATGTGACATGAATGAACTTGGGACAGTCAGAAACTTCAGCAAGAAAACATAGTGCACTTTAATCCTATTAGAACAGAATCAAAACCAAACAAAACATGAAGTACAAAAAATCAGCAAACACATTTTAGCTCATATCAGGACCTGTGAGGGGTGAAGTGTAAGTGATCCTAATTAGTGAAGTTATGAGATGACTCCTTTTTTATTTATGTTTCATTTTCTCTCTATTTCTTCACATTTGGGCTTTTGTTATGCCGGCATTTGGACTAAGCTGGAATCATGTACATTGATGGCTCCAGGCTTATATTTTTCCCAGCTCCATCATCAGAGATAGATTGCTTTTCCTTATCTTGAATCATGAAAGTACTGGCTGGCTGTGTTCAGGTTGTATTCCAACACATGTCCATATATTCCATCTGAATTAATTTATAGCACTTACTGGAATCTTGTAGTTGGAATTGGTAAAATAACTAATAGAAATACTAATGATAATGACAATAATTTATCCAGAAGGATTTCTGAGTAGAAATTTAGAAGATTTTGAAAAAAATATAATAAAGTAACATTACATAAAATGGTGGAGTAAATTTTAGCATCAATACAATTCTAAGGTCTACACTTTGGCAATGAATAGAAATAAATATACTGACTCATCATCAGTATTGAGAATAATGTTGTTTGACTAAAGTAAATAAAAACAAACAAGATACTTCAAGGTTAGCTACATATTCATCTCTCTAATAAAATTTCAGGAAGTTTCTTAATCTTATTTCACTACTTAAAAAATTAGCACTATCAGTAGCAACTTCCACAATGATAATCACTAGTGTTTGGAGCTTTTCTTATAAACAAGTCATTCCTTTAAATATTCAACTAATAGTAATTATTTTAATATACCATTCACAAATGCTATTTCATATAAATCCTATAGGAAATTTAGCTTCAGTTTATATTATTTATTATAATGAGAAAAGCAGGAATAATTTCCCATCAGTACCTGTGATAATACTGCAGAACATCTTTTATATCCTGTTTGGGAATAAACCAGTAATATAGAGACTTTTGGGGTTTAATTGTGGCAGAATTTGATTTCCTACATCTTTATTGCATATGAAACCAATATTATCAGAAACTAGTTTCAGAATCTAAAAGATTGACAGTCATCTACCAGTAACACAGTTATATTGTGTACTTCCTACAGGGATATTAAAATATGTTTTACATTTCCTCTTCTTAGTTTTCAAATATTTTTGTAGTTTTAAAATTATTGGTTCCCTGTCATTCCTCGAATATTTGCAACTATTACTTGTAACTAGAAAACTTTTAGTTAAAAATGTAAAGTGCCTTTTTTTCCTGGAATCAAAGTAAATGATACAATGTTTCTAAAGAAGAATGTGATAAGGATAGGTTGATGTTCAACAAGACAATAAAAACTGGCAACACAAAATGCCGACCCATAAATATGAACTTTGCTTTCTTATTTTAAGGCAGGTGTGACTGTGTGTGTTAACTATCAATTTGAGATACTCTCAAATCACCAGGAAGACAGACCTCCAGGCCTACCTGTGGGGGATTATTTTATTTATATTAATTTTTGTGGAAAGATCCATGTTGACTGTAGGTGAGCTGAACGTTCATTACTCCCAGTATCTTGACTGTGGATTCCATGTAAAAATGCCAAGTGTGGTGTCACATGCTTTAGATAGATCCCTCAGGCTAACTGAATAGCCAAACTGGCCTATTTGGCAAGTTCCAAGCCAGTAAAGTCCTGTCAAAAAATAATAAAAGAAAGATAGAAAAAGAAAGAAACTAAGAAGAAAGTTGAATGGCATCTGTGGAATGGTGCCCAAGGTTGTACATGTATACACACACCTGTGACTATATTTCCTCCACATACATATTTGCATCTGATCACACTTGAATGTTCACACACATGTACACAAGGTTCACTAGAATTAAAGTTTAAAGAAATACATCAAAGGGCTTTTTCTACAACAAATTAATGTATAAGAAAATAATTCTGAAATATTTCAAACACTAATGTAATTAAAATCTATGCAATACAAGATAAGGAAAATAAGGGGGACCATATCATCAAAGACATAAAAAGCATAAAGTAATTTGGCAGGTGTATAACTTGGAAAACTGTTATGAGTATTGGTTGGAATGTATTAAAATATCCAATCAAAATGCACGTGGCATATGGGGTGAGAAAACAAGATTCATTCCATTATATAAAGATATTCATTTTAGAATGAAAGAGAAAAGTGATTACAATGAAGTTATCATGCAAGTAACTTATAAGTATTCTCTGTATAATTATAAGGAAAATAGGTTTCAAAGCAAAAAACTTAACACTCAAAGAATAAAGAATTCCATAACAATGAATGTGGCAATTCGTGAGTAATGTTTAAAACTAGTAATAATATACGTTCCTGACAGGGGAGATACCATAATCACCCCTATGCTTTTCCCAGAGCAAGGCTTATCTATTGTACTCCAACTATGCTGACCCCTGCAATTTCCCCAAATGTGTGAAATTAGACTGCCTAATTTGCAATAGTGGTGGACTTCTTTCATGTGCTCCCCTAAAAAAACAAAATTGGTAATAAAACTAAATTCATTGTATATTCCATATAAATATAATAGTAATTGCAAACCAATAAATTAAAGAGAAAAAAATGAGAATTCAAAAATAATGATCCATCAAAACCCCATACCAAATAATGATTAGAATAAATAGAAGATTGACAAGGAAATAAGAAATTGAACAACAGTACAAATCCCCTGGATTATATGTATGTGTGTGTGTGTGTGTGTGTGTGTGTGTGTGTGTGTGTGAGAGAGAGAGAGAGAGAGAGAGAGAGAGAGAGACCACCAAAAATATTTGCGCATAGAGTTTCTAAAAAGTACCTATACGCTCTTCATAGTCTGCCACATTTTCAGCCATAAACCAGCTCAATACATCTGAAAGACATGGGACATTCTAGATTTACAGTCTCATTGAAATTATGTTTGAAATCATCAAAAGTAGAATATTACAAGTTCAAAGCACATTAAAATTACAGAATACCCTTAAATAACCAGTGAGTCATATAACAACTTGTAAATATCAGAATATATTTTAGGATAAAGACAAATAAAAAATAACAAAACTTATGTGATATATCCGTTAAAAGAAAAAAATATTCAAAGCAAAAAATAAGCTTTCTGTTAAGAAATTAACTTTTAAAAAGACACAAAGAGATGGTTCAGTGGTTAAGAGCACTGGCTGCTCTTGCAGAGGACCTGGATTTGGTTTTCAGTACCCACATCGTGGCTAAGAACCATCCATAACTCTAGTTTCAAGGGATCTGATGTCCTCTTCTGACCTCCTGAGGGAACGCACAACGTGGATGAACTTACATACATGCAGGAAATACACTCATAAATAAAGTAAAATAAAATAATGAAATAAAACACTGAAAAACCATTTTAAAAAGAACATTTTAAATGGAGAAGATATAGTGCAAGGGTTAGACAGGGAGAGAGAGGAGAGATAAAGAATGCCTACCTAGTGTAAATAAACAGAGGATATCATATTAGTCCAACAACCTAATGACAAATTACATGTACAATATATCTACATGAGTCCATGTGCATAGCTAAAGGCTACATAACAAGAAACAGTGCTAGACAGGAGAAATCTTCTTTTGAGCTGTTGGCCAGGATTGTCCACAAGACTCCCAAAACTACACAGGCTATTGCCATAGCCCTTCATTGCCTCCCAGAACTTGAAGGTAAGAACCTACTGATGAAGACAGAACATACTTTGGATTTGGAACAATGGAGCTGAAACTGACCTGGAAGCCACTTCCCCTGAAGGCTTGCTCTCATAGCTTTGGAGAGCATTGTGCAATGTGCTAAAGTAGAGCAGCAACTGATGGTCCAACACCAGTTTCAAGACCAAATAACCACATCAGTGACTGGCACAGCATATGACGTCGGTGCAATAGTGGCACATTCTCTTGGAGGCAATCAACAGCTACCTAATTGTACCAAAATCTCACTCAATAGGAGGAGACTTGTGTGTGGTAATGTAAGCATAATCAAATACACATGACTGGAAAGGTCATGGATCTTAGAGAAAACCCCACATTGTCACATCCCTGGACTAATGTAAGTTCAGTACATGCAAAATACATATCCTTATATTTACAGACAAATATCCCAGTCACCACTCACCAAAGAAACTTCTTTGCACCAGACAGAGATTATTACATAGTACCACAACACAGATATTGTCTGTGAATTGCCCAAGTCTAAGTGGCACATCTACAGTGAGAGCTCCACACCTAAGACTCACAGAACATAGATCAAAGGGTAAAGAAGACAATAATGATGAATCTCTCAATTCTCATTAATGAAGCTCCCTCATGCAACAGAGGGCCAGGAACACAAAAGGTCATAAATGGACAAAGTGTAGACATTAAGATTCTTCAGAATGTTGGTCCCTGGGCAGGATTCCTATATCAAACTACACCACCCAGGGCTCAGTGATCATTGTGGAAGAGGGGTGGAAAGACTGTAAGAGCCAGGGAGGAGGTGCCAGCATGTGCAAGGCCCATGCAACTCAAACAGACAAAAACCCAAACTAGAACTGGAGAAATGAACAGCTGACTTCATTCCTAGCTAAAGAAATAATGGCAACTAATTACTGCTGGGTGATGGAAGAGCTGATCTTCCTAATGCGAGAGACTCTAGATAGGCTGACTAGACTTCAGTGGATAGTCTCATATTGTGGGAGGTCTGGGGACACTAACTTGATACAGTAGGCATTAAGACAAATGACAGAATGTATGAATTCCAGTGGGGGGCTTATAAGAGGGTATCAGAGGGGAATGGAGTATAAAGATGATAAAAATTGATTGAGAGGTTCTGTATGAAATACACAAAAATTCAATAAAAAGAAATTAATGGATTAAAAAGTCAAAGCATGTGGAAGTGTGGGGATAAAATAAATTAAATTGAAAATAAGTGAACTATAGAATAAAAAATGACAGAGAAGTTAAATAAAATAATGTTTCTCTTTTTGCAAAGATTTGAAAAACAGACAAGTGCTGGTAAAATGGCTCATTGTGTAAAGGTAAGCACTGCCAAGTGTGATGAACCAAGTTTGAATCTGCGATGCATGTCATAGTAGAGAAGCAACTCCTGCAAGTTGCCCATGCATACCTTGGCATATGAAGTCACCCTCTACACAAAATAAATAAAGCAAAAGGGAATAAAAAAAAATTAAAATGTGCAATGAAACAGATTGACCCCCCTCCCCAAAAAAAGAGATGACAATGTAATTATTAAGATCATAAATAAGATTACATCACTACATGCCCTATTTCTGCCATTACCCCGGCCCCTCCAGACTGGAGGATCACATGGATCTGTGGGCACCTCTTATGGGTACCACTGCTTTCTGCCTCTGTGAAGCCAGCCTCTTGTGTCTGAGGACTACTCACAGCACCATGCTTGTGACTTCCACAGATATTTGAAACTCTGCAGCAAGAACCTGCCAGCTCTAAAGAGGGTTTGTTCTCATGTTCCGAAGTTTCATCCAGTCCTAGCTATGATAGGACCACTCCTGGCACCTCATTAGCGTAACAATATTAAGTGACTCCAAGAATGACCCTCATCCACTCAACAAAGGTGGGACAGATATACATACTAAAAGACACTACACACAACTAACTCCAAATGCCCAGGTCTCTTTGTAAAATATAAAAAACACACACAAAAATCAAAACCATTGTTACTTAGAAATTTAGTACCTGGGGCTGGAGAGATGGTACTTGCATAGGTATGTTGCCCAAGAAAAACAGCTTGGACAACAAAACAATGAAATTAAAATAGCAGCTGTACATATGTTTAAGGAACTGAAAGATAGGAATAAATGCCAGAATGGAGGTAAAAATAAATTCCACAAACAGTTTAATCATAGGAAAACAAGTCAAGATATGGAAATAGAACTTAAAAAAGAGATAAGAATTCTGGATAAACCCCAAACCAAAATAAAAGTAAATAATTCAATAAACTTCAGAAAAATTCAGGACAAAGTAAAAGCTCAATGGAAAGCTACACTAATAAATCCAGTGGAAGGGGTACTATCATGGAATGAGGACTACATAGAAGAATTGGGTTACTCAGGAAAAGAAAATCATAAACCTAAAATATCCTCCATGAACAGAACATGCAGGAATTCTGCTATACTGTAGAATCAAATTTTAAGCAAGTAGAGGAGGAGAAGAAATCAAAGTGGAAGGCATAGAAATATGTTCCAAAGAAATAATAGCAGAAACTCTCCAAATGTAAGAAAAGAGATGCCTATCATGGTTCAAGAGGTACACAGAACATCAACAAGACAAGACCAGGAAAGAAATTTCTCATCTCATGTAATAGTCAAAAAACTAAGGCTATAGAACAAAGAAAATATATTGAAAGCTTCAATAGATATAGACTACATAAAAAGTGGAATCATCAGAGTAACAGCTCATTTTGTAATGGAGACCTTGAAAGACAGGGAAGTTTTTGCTGATGTACTGCAAGTTTTGAAAAACGTTAGATGCTAACCCAGAAACCTATATCCAGGAAAACTATCTACCATAAAGAAAATATTTCCATAATGAGTCCTGGTTAAAGAAACTTACAATCACTAATCCAGCCCTACTGAGGATACTGTAAGTAATACTTTGGAATGAAGACAGAGAAAATATATCCAAGAAGTGACAATGATTAAACAGATGAGGACTCAGAAATCAAGTGAAAAAAATCAGTATATATCTTAAAATAATAACTTTGAACATCAGTAGTCTCAACTCCCATCCAAAAGACACAAACTAATTGATCTGGATTAAAATACAGGACTCATCATTGTACTGCCTGTAAGAAATATACCTCATCACAAAAATAGTTACTATTTTGGAATGAAAGGATGAGCAAAGGATTTTCAAGTAAAGCAACCAGGAAGGAAATAGGAGTTGCTATTCTAACATGTAACAAAATATACCTCAAAAGAAAAACAAAACAAAAAAAACTAATCAGAAGGGATAAAGAAGATAATTTCATACTAATCAAGGGTATGACCCCTCTAGAAGTTCTTACAGTCCTAAATGTATGTATGAAACCTGGGTGAATATAACTTCATAATGTCAATGCTACTGGGCATAAAGCAACAGATTAACACCAACACATCCACAGTATGTGACCTCACTACCCTACTTTCATCAATGTGTTGATCAACCAGAAAAAAATTTAATAAAGCAACAGTACAGATAAATTACCTCATACATCAAGTAGACCTAAGGGATGCCAACAGAGCACTGCATCCAAACACTAGAGATTATGCAGCCTACTCAGCAGGCCATAGAAGCTTCACTAAAATAGACCACGTTTTGGGAAACAAAATATCTCTAAAAATGCAGGAAAATTGATATCATTGTATGTTTCTGACCATAATGGACTAAAGCTAGATATCAACAGCTGTAGAAACTACAGAAAATATACACAGTCATGGAGATTGAACAACATGCACTACTGAATGACAAACGAATTACTGAAG